CAAATTCACCCCATCCAGTTTCTGTAATCTCAAAAGGTGGATTTTCGATTACTATTATAACAGTTTTATAAAAGGTCCTATTCGTCTCTATTTTCACGTGATTAGATTATAGTTTATTATAATAATTTAAAGGTTCATTTTAATAGTTTAAAAAGTTTATTTCAATATATAGTTTATTATTAGCCGATCAGAACTTGTTAAAACCAAAGACCATGTAACCGGTCAAAAGATCGGTCCTTAACCGGTCTTCTCAAGACCGATTCAACCCTATTTGTAGCATAAATTTCGACGACATACGGTATCAGCCATTAGGTGCAGCCTTAATTTTATAATGCCGTATGCCAAATATCAGGTAGGAATTATGCCAAAAATACTTTCTACGTCATGTAAAGTCGGATCACTAATCAGTTTGCAATAAGAATCGCATAATTAGAAAAAACGGCCAAGTGATAAATGTTGAACTACCAGGACCGTGTGAAATAATGTATTGCTATCAAATTTGCTATACAGAAGCCCATAGTAATATATTCATCAATGATGGAATTTAATATTTGATATTTTTATTCGTTACCATGCGAAAATATATGTATCGCTTATTACTTTAAATTGGGATTTTTCTGATTGTACAATGAAATTAGTAAATTAGGTAATCGCAAAATTAACTTTTTTAACAAAAAGTGAGATCTCCAACGAAATAATATCGATTAAATTTGTTTTTGAAACATTACGCATAAAATTTTACATACCCAAAATTAATAAAATAATTGTATTACTTTTTGGAACGTTCTAACTCTGTTTTAACTTCTTCTAATTCCTTTGTTATTTTATCATTTCTGTTTTTATATAAAGTCATTTGCTCTTGAACTTTTCTGTAAGCTTCATCAATCTTACGAAGTTCTTCTTGCTCTGCTTGTAAGCCTTTAAAAAATATATAACATATCAAAATCAAGTTCATGAAAAAAAAAGGGGTTAAAAAAAAAAAATTAAAATACAAACTGTATAGTATATTGGGTGATGGTTTGGCTGGAAGAGTTGGAATTGGATGCATTGTCAAAATTTGATATAAAGTTTCCGGTGGATCAGTGAACACCTATTAATTAAATATATATAATATATGTAAAGCATAAATTAACGACACTATAAGAATCTTTGTAGTCCATACGAGCTCATCGTATTGAAAACTTTGAACCGGTTTATTCTTGCTTGAAGTTGAAATTGAGCCATCGTCTTCATAAGAATGAAGACGAAGATTGTGATAAAGGGTAACAGGTTTTTCACTACCTTCGATAAATTGAAGTTTTATTGAAAGCTCAAATTCACCCCATCCAGTTTCTGTAATCTCAAAAGGTGGATTTTCGATTACTATTATAACAGTTTTATAAAAGGTC